ATGAATGTGTTATATTGTGTTTTTTATTATTATGATTTATTTTAGTTTTTGCAGTTTTACTTTTGTGAGACATGTTTGATGTTAGAGATGAAAATTGATTTTTATATTATAAAAAGTAATTCAAACAAAAAATAGCTTATGCTGCAGCTTTCATTTTGAATAATTATTAAAACTAACAATGCAAAATTTTGCAATATAGTAATTTTATTTTTATTCCTAAGCATGTAAAACTTTGCGCGCGCATTACTGGGCGGCGCTTTCACATAAACATGTGTATACGCGTAGTGCGTGACGCGCTTGTTTCACAAATTGACCGCCTTCGGCGGTCGCCCGCTACTGCAAGCGAGAGGGCTTTGGTTAGAGCAAGGCGGCGCTCAGCCTGCCATTCCACCGAATTTTTATTGTTTATGAATGTTTATGAACATAATAGCCTGGGGTCCCCAGGTAACGCGCGCACTGATCAATTGAAAATTAAAAATTTGAAAAAAGAGAGAGCCTCAACGAGTGTTCAGCCAACTTCGCCACCCGTATGGCTAGGAAACATGGACTTTCATGTTTGGAATTCCAGGATTGGAAAGATGAGGTCTCCCGGATCTTCACCAATCGCCTTAACTTCCTCTCCTCCTCCCCTAATAACTTCACTCCCTACAATTCCATTCTACAAAGGGATGATGTTAAATCTTATCTCGACCGTCTTTCTTCTTCTTTTATTATTTGCTCCGTAGATAAAGCTTCAAATAATTATGTTTTTGTCTGCAAGAAGTTTTATCTTTTAACCCTTCTCAACGAACTTGGCTACGATCTCACTTCTCTAGAGTGTCGTGGCAATTCTACTTATCATCCGGTTAACTCTGTAGAGGATGATATTATTCAGGAACATGTGAACTTCATTAAAGATAACTTTAATATTCGTGTTTCTGAGGACAACCTTTGTCTACCGAGAATCTTTTGGATTCCTAAACTTCACAAGAATCCTTATAAGTCTAGATTTATAGCTGGGGCCAGTAAATGTACCACTAAGCAGATATCAGTTGTAGTCAACAAAGCTTTAAAAGTTTTAAAAGAATACTTTTCCAAATACTGCAACTCTATCTACAACAATACTGGAATTAACTGCGACTGGAGCATTAACAGCTCTAAACAGTTCCTGGAAAGGCTGCCTAGACTAGAGATTTTTAATATGCAGGTATACGACTTTACCACTCTGTATACCAATCTAGACCTTCAGGTTGTACAGTCACTGCTTTTCGAGCTAATAGATCTCCTCTTTAGTAATACGAATAAATTTATTTGTGTTTCTCTGTATAAGAACAACAATTTTTTTTTTTTTTTTTTTTTTTTTTTTTTTTTTTCTCTAAAAAGGAATATAACGGATACTTATGTTTTTCTGCTGATAAACTCAAAACAGCTATCACATTTATTCTGTTTAACACTTTTGTTTGTTTTGGGGATCAGATTTTAAGACAAACGAAAGGCATTCCCATGGGAGGGAATTCTAGTAGCCAGTTCGCTGATCTTTCGCTAGGGAAGTGTGAATTCAACTACATGACACGCCTAATCAAAGAAAAGAAGTTCGGTCTCGCTAAGCTCCTCTCAAGAAACTGCAGATATGTCGACGACCTCAACACCATGAACTATTTGCATTTCTCTAACCTAATCAGGTCCATTTATCCACCTGACCTGCTTATGGAGAGGAGTGGTGACGACAATAAGTCCGTAAACTATCTCGACATCAACATCTCGATGAATAACTCCGGACACGTCGCCACCAAGCTTTACAACAAACTTGATGACTTCAACTTTCCTGTGGTCATGTACACCTTTCCTAACAGTAATATTTCCTCTTCTGTTGGTTATAATGTTTTTTACGGTCAGGTCCTTCGTTACTCTTCCATTATCTCTGACCTTGATTCTTTTCTGTGTTCTACCAACACCCTTTATAGGACACTTCTTTCAAGATGTTATAATGACAGACTCCTGAAGAGTAAATTCAGAAAGCTTCTGAAAGACCGACCTAGTATTCTGTACAAATACAGTATACTTGATGTCAGCGACATCCTTGACATCACATTTAACGTGAACAGGTGATCACTGACGAGTGATTGCTAGGGGGTCTTGGCACATTAAACCGGTACAGGTATTAAACCCCCGAAACCGGTGTGCCAAGTCATCTGCTGATGATGTTCACATAACATTATTTCCTCTCTCCTTTATTCCTTCCGTCTTTTCTTAAACTTACAGTTCAGTTACTTTATTTCACCAGGTCTACCTAAGGATCAATTATTCTTTGGTGGGGTTTCACTTCTGGTATTGGCTTCATTCCCGTTCCTTTTCCTTATTCTTTATACTTATTTTTTATATAGTTTAATGAGATTGCAATTTGTATCACTGTTGAAAGTGTGTGGCGGTTCCTCCGCCCTGCCGGATGCGCCAAGTGATAGCTTGTTATTATATGATTTACGTCCTTAGTTTTTGCTAGTTGGCCCTTTTTATGATATTATTACCCCCTTTTGCACAGTTCTTCAGGAGTGTTTCCCTTCATGTTTTCTGTTCCTTAGACCAAACAGGGGCGTGAGCTGCCCGCCCTAGCTACGGTACGAGAAGCAGCGGCAGTGTGTGATCCGGTTATAAAGAGTGTTCTTGGAACAACAGCACTCTGCTTGGCTGCACTGTGACAGTGGGAGAACATTAGTTCATGTCACCTAACGCCCGCTTAACCTTGGCAGCCCCAAGGCATCTGGTTGGTGATGGTTCCCAGGGCTTTTTCAGTTGGAGTCGGCTGTTAAGTTTGTCCTGTAAATTCTTGACTTAAGAAAGGAAATAAAATATATAACATCACATCCAACACTTGGATTCATCCCAACAGTATTATTTCCCCTGATATAACACCGTGTAATAAGTCAAGATGTCTCACCTGTAAACCATTCAGGTCAAGTAATATTTTCACCAGTTACGTTACTAATAATTCTTTCATGTTAACTCACTCTGAATCCTTTTCTTGTAAATCTTCTTCTATTATCTATCTCCTCACTTGTTCTTGTGGTATTCAATATGTTGGGCTCACAGAACAGCGCCTTAATGAACGCATGAATGGACACCGTGCTTCGGTTAAAGCCGGCAAATCCTCCTTTGTCCATGACCACTTTAATACTCCCGGTCATAATTTTCATGACGCCTCCATTCAAATTATTGATTTTATTGACCCTTCCTCTACTGAAGACCCTCGTCTGGCCTTAGCTGACAGGGAACTTCTTTGGATTAATCTCCTGAGCACTGCTCACCCTCTAGGTCTCAATGACAACATAAAAGGTTCTGGTAATATTTCTAAAAGCAACTTTAACGATATTTATTTTAAAAGTAAAATAAAAAGATATAAAAGAGGACATGGCAGAAAAAAGAAAAACAAAAGCCACGAAGATAGAATATACAAAAGGACTCTCACTTTAAGAGAGATTGACAATAAATATGAAAGTTTAAAAAGAAAAATGTCTGAAAGCAAATACACCTTTTATAAAGATATAAGTAGCCTTCAAAAAGGCGAGCTCAAGCAACTTAGCTCTCATTCCCTCTGCAAATCTGGAGCCATTTTCCTTGTTATACAATCTTTTGCTGGCCAAGACAGCACTTCTTCTCCTAATATCACCTCTGTTAATAGCGAGTTTATCACTTTTCACTATTGTTCTAAAATATTTGATAAACTCCGAATAGAATCAGTCATTCGTGACTCTAGGATCTTGACTCTTCTCCCTCCAAACCTTACGCCTTTCCTTCCCTTAAAAGTTTACTATAAGTACGATATTCCTGTCGGGCGTAAGCTTTTTAATTATAATACATTCCTTAAATCACTTGATAATACTACTATTTCCTCCATCCTGGAAGGTGATTGCCCCTGTTCCAGTAACCCTTATTGCTATCAGCCTCGAGGCCACATCATCACCGGTGACCTTGCTTTCATTGAGCACGAGGATTTAAGAGGCATCATGAGTTACGGTACCAAATTTAGGGAACCTGTGTCTGTTCCTCCTGAGCAAATCTTGGAGAGCCTCAACGAGTGTTCAGCCAACTTCGCCACCCGTATGGCTAGGAAACATGGACTTTCATGCTTGGAATTCCAGGATTGGAAAGATGAGGTCTCCCGGATCTTCACCAATCGCCTTAACTTCCTCTCCTCCTCCCCTAATAACTTCACTCCCTACAATTCCATTCTACAAAGGGATGATGTTAAATCTTATCTCGACAGTCTTTCTTCTTCTTTTATTATTTGCTCCGTAGATAAAGCTTCAAATAATTATGTTTTTGTCTGCAAGAAGTTTTATCTTTTAACCCTTCTCAACGAACTTGGCTACGATCTCACTTCTCTAGAGTGTCGTGGCAATTCTACTTATCATCCGGTTAACTCTGTAGAGGATGATATTATTCAGGAACATGTGAACTTCATTAAAGATAACTTTAATATTCGTGTTTCTGAGGACAACCTTTGTCTACCGAGAATCTTTTGGATTCCTAAACTTCACAAGAATCCTTATAAGTCTAGATTTATAGCTGGGGCCAGTAAATGTACCACTAAGCAGATATCAGTTGTAGTCAACAAAGCTTTAAAAGTTTTAAAAGAATACTTTTCCAAATACTGCAACTCTATCTACAACAATACTGGAATTAACTGCGACTGGAGCATTAACAGCTCTAAACAGTTCCTGGAAAGGCTGCCTAGACTAGAGATTTTTAATATGCAGGTATACGACTTTACCACTCTGTATACCAATCTAGACCTTCAGGTTGTACAGTCACTGCTTTTCGAGCTAATAGATCTCCTCTTTAGTAATACGAATAAATTTATTTGTGTTTCTCTGTATAAGAACAACAATTTTTTCTCTAAAAAGGAATATAACGGATACTTATGTTTTTCTGCTGATAAACTCAAAACAGCTATCACATTTATTCTGTTTAACACTTTTGTTTGTTTTGGGGATCAGATTTTAAGACAAACGAAAGGCATTCCCATGGGAGGGAATTCTAGTAGCCAGTTCGCTGATCTTTCGCTAGGGAAGTGTGAATTCAACTACATGACACGCCTAATCAAAGAAAAGAAGTTCGGTCTCGCTAAGCTCCTCTCAAGAAACTGCAGATATGTCGACGACCTCAACACCATGAACTATTTGCATTTCTCTAACCTAATCAGGTCCATTTATCCACCTGACCTGCTTATGGAGAGGAGTGGTGACGACAATAAGTCCGTAAACTATCTCGACATCAACATCTCGATGAATAACTCCGGACACGTCGCCACCAAGCTTTACAACAAACTTGATGACTTCAACTTTCCTGTGGTCATGTACACCTTTCCTAACAGTAATATTTCCTCTTCTGTTGGTTATAATGTTTTTTACGGTCAGGTCCTTCGTTACTCTTCCATTATCTCTGACCTTGATTCTTTTCTGTGTTCTACCAACACCCTTTATAGGACACTTCTTTCAAGATGTTATAATGACAGACTCCTGAAGAGTAAATTCAGAAAGCTTCTGAAAGACCGACCTAGTATTCTGTACAAATACAGTATACTTGATGTCAGCGACATCCTTGACATCACATTTAACGTGAACAGGTGATCACTGACGAGTGATTGCTAGGGGGTCTTGGCACATTAAACCGGTACAGGTATTAAACCCCCGAAACCGGTGTGCCAAGTCATCTGCTGATGATGTTCACATAACATTATTTCCTCTCTCCTTTATTCCTTCCGTCTTTTCTTAAACTTACAGTTCAGTTACTTTATTTCACCAGGTCTACCTAAGGATCAATTATTCTTTGGTGGGGTTTCACTTATGGTATTGGCTTCATTCCCGTTCCTTTTCCTTATTCTTTATACTTATTTTTTATATAGTTTAATGAGATATCGCGCATTGAATTTTGAGGTTTACCTGTAATTCTATTGTATATGAAAACTTTAAATGAAATTGTGTTCAAAATCTATCAAGTCTTTTTCAGTTTATGACTTAGAACCTTGTAACTTGGCAACAATGTTCTTCAAGGTATTTTGAGTTTTTGTTATGTAACGATTTATGATATCTTGCTCCAAAGCTGAGATATGAGGTTAACCATGAGTGCGGGTTACAAAATTTACAAAATTTAAAATGGTTAACCTCATTAAAAGAGTTAGGAGCAAAATTACAACAATCGTTACATAACAAACTTTTAAATTTATGTCAGGAACATAAGTTCCAAATTTGAGGTGAAATGGATAAAAGCTCTAGGAGAAGATAGGTTTTTGAGGTGGTAAATAAATTGTTCAGGAGAGTCAAAAGACTGATTCTGAGAAAATATGTTAACCTCAATTTTCCAACAAATAAAGGACATATAATAGTTCCGTTCACATTGGATGGCCAATTGATACCCATTGATAAGTTTAACTTGCGATGAGAGCAACAAAATGCTAAGAACTGGTTATTTGTGAGGTTAACTGATTAAAAAGGCAATAGTTAACCTCAATTTCACGACAAACTAGGCGCTCTGGGGGGCTAAGGGTGGTGTGCAAGCGTCAGATAGTACGTGGTCTGCCAACTGGCAAAAAAAAGTTTTTTCGACCTCGGACCCCCCCCTGTGGCCTTAACTGGGTCCTTCAATTTTTCCTAAAACTTCATTCGAAACATTCCAAAAATAAAAATCATTTACACTGTTTTTAAAACATTTCTTTCTTAAATCCTTCCAATCTAACTTTAAAGCTTAAAACTGTCGAGCAGTTCTTGACATCTGGAGGGAGTTTGTTCCAATAAGGAATGACTCGCTCCGGAAGAAAAGAAGACCGGAGATTCTTTACTTTAGTTACACTCTTACTACACAGTGGCGTAACGAAGGGCCCCGCTGACCCTGCTGTGCAGGGGGGCGCCGTCTTAGGGGGGCGCCAAATCGTCGTTTGAATGTGGGACAATTTTGAAAACTTAATTAAAGTACTAGCAAAACTGCGCGTTTTGATCTAGATACACACTTTTTTAGAGATTTTACCGGCGTATCCTCTAAAATCACCTAATTTGTACAATTTTAGGGAGGGGCACCAAAAGGGGAGGGGGCGCCAACAGGGGGGCGCCTTTTCGGCGGGGGGCGCCAACAGGCAACGTTACGCCACTGTTACTACATCTATTGGTTGAAACAAGATTAAGACCAGATCTGCTCATTCTGAACAAACCCAATCCATATTCAGTCAAACCACTAGTTACTTTAAAAGCTTCAATAAGGTCCCCACGTATTCGCCGCTCTGCCAGCGTTGTCAAATTGAAAATATCTAGTCTACGGCTGTATGGAAGAGTACCCACCTCATCAATAAGACGGATAAACCGCCTCTGGACGCTCTCCAGCTCCAAAACAGTCCCCCATCTTCCATGAGCCGCAACTGGATTCCACAATTGGACACAATACTCAAGATGAGGTCTTATCAAAGCTTTATAAATAGCTATCATTACAACCTGTCTCTAATAACTAACAGATGGATGCCTGGAAAGTTAAACAATGTCCCTTTTTATGTTTTAAATTATACACTACAGTCAACAGTGTATGTGTATCATATCAAAAGGTATAATACTCTTACGTGATTTTAGATCTTTCAGCAGGACATATAATCACGATTTCGAGATAATTCATATGAGCCTATGGGGACTGTTAGAGACCTTATTATAGGTTTATAGAGTCCTTAGTCAACCCCAAAGATTGATCTTTAGCTATGTAAATAGCACTGTCAGTCGCCATTGTTAATTGAATTTAATGGACAATTTGCATTGACTCTGTGGTAAGTCGAGTATTTCAAATCAGTGTCTAATTTATTTCGATAATTAATTTCAAACTAATGTGTCATTCAATTCTTAACGATCTGTGCACTCCAGAATGTGTACTCTCAGGGAGAAAGAGGAGTTCAATGAAGAAGAAAGCAAAACCGTGGAATTCAAGGCACACAAGGTATTGGGTTACACACAGATGCCTGCTAGAGCTATTTCTGAGCACAAATACCAGCCTGCTTCCAGAACTTTATGTGCCTTTCTTAACATAAATAAGTTGTGTCACTTATACCTAGGAATACAAGACAATGGTACAGTGAAGGGGCATTATATGTTTGGAGCTCAGATGGAACATTTTAATCAAAATCTAGATTTGTTAATGAAGGAACGATTTGATCCCCCTGTAGACAGATACCGTTATGTTGTTAACTTCAGAAAGGTTGAGGCTTTTGATGGGGCTGCTGTCTATCCTAGTACTCCAGGACTTACCATAAAACAAGAACACAAATTGCTCTTGCAACCAAATGTTTGCTGGTGCGAACAAGAAATCTCTCAACTTCAATTTCAAGGTGGAAAAAATCCACCCCTTTATGTGATTCATGTTCAAATAAACAAATGGGACCCTAACAGAGACAGCAACAGGTTCAAAGTGTGGCCATATTTCACTACCGAGGAAGGCAAGTGTTTTACAAGATACAATGCTAGTAACCATGAAGTTCCCCCAGATCAAGTAATTGAGCAAACTAGACTTGACCTACAGGAGCTTCTGTCGGAAGTGTCAGTACACTGATTGTGATGCAACATTTCTGCACTGTAAATTGATATTTTGTCAACGCATTCTTTTAAGATTGCATGTTGTACCTATTGATATGTTGAACAAAATAATTATAAATTTCAAAATTGTTGCAGGCTGCTTTAATTCAGAATGATACATTACATTTCTTAAAGGTTTTTTTAAGTTTATGTTTTCCTTTTAACTGTAAAACTTCAATTTAAATAGAAACAATGATATATATAATGGGGTGTTCTGTACCACATAGTTCTGTAATGCTTACATTAGTTTTTACCCAATATCATGGTTTGGGACGCAAATAGCTTTGAATCATAACTTTGACTCAGCAAAGGGTTTTTAGAAAAATGCCAAATAAATGTATAACTGTTTACAAGGTTATCAGGACTGTAATAGGCGTAGTAGGACATTTTCAAAACTTTCCTTCCATCAAAGATTTTTCTGGATATACCACTAATTGGTCACTGATAAAAATTTCAGTCAAAACCACGAAATTTCGGTCAAGGGGACGGCAGAAAAGCTCCTCTTCAAAAACATTTCAAAATCTCTTTTTATATTCTGATGATTTTCCGTTTATCAAAGCTTTCTTCGGGAATAGAACTTTGAGTACCTCAATCGTGTCTTGTGCCATCCTCAGTGTCCTAATAAGAAAAATAAATTCTGTTGATTAATGTATAAAAGAGCAACCACCTAACCAATATCAGAGCAACTCTCCTAACAAAGTACTTCCTACTAGAATGAGGTTACGGAGACTTATCCTCCTGGACAAGAAACTGTTAACTGTTTTGTACTCTCACACTTTCTACGTCACAGAATCCCAGTGTCTCAATGATCCTCTCTATTGCGAGATTCCAACCAAAGTCGAGATTTTAGTGAAAGCATTTGTTGAAAAGTACTCTGTTGAAAGTGAATACAAAATAAACTTCAAGGCTGGTCGTGATTCTTGTGATAGGGAGGACTGGTTTCCTGTGATCTCTATAAATGTAAGTTAGTTAATTGTAAGTTAATTAAATGTAAGTTAGTTAAATGTAAGTTAATTAAATGTAAATTAATTAAATGTAAGTTTATTAAACGTAAGTTAATTAAATTTAAGTTAATTAAATGTAAGTAAATATCACTCAATTATCATACCATTTCAAAATAAGGTTATTTAAAACACAAGCATTTAATAATAGGTACATACCATGATTCATTAATTAATCTAACCTATTTACGTCTTCAGTTTACAAATCAGTGAAACACAAACATACTATGCGGGGGGACTACAGACCCCCTCAAAGTCCTTTACAACGTTACTGCCAGGTTACATAGCACTGAAAATAAATATCATCAGAAATTCAAATTCAAAGCATTTAAACTGTAAAACAATAATTTACAGGTAGACAGCAATGATATCTGGCCAGTAGTGTACCTCACAACATCTAAACACATTATTATCGGTATTCCACTAATGAAGAAGAGCGACACTTCAACAGGGTTTAGCAAAACCCCGGAAATACCCGCCACTCTGCAGCTACTGGACACGTTTGGGAACTTTTTGAGAGAGTTGTCTTCTGAACTCTCTGCTGAAGAGCCAGTGGTGGGTTGCTGTTATAATACTTTACAATTTGAATTAATGAATTCCGGACTCCATCTGGATCGACCTAGGCAGGCAGGGCAACAAAGTTGACACTTTTATTGTGAAATATCTTAAACCAGTTTAATGCTTTTTACTCTTCAGTTTGACATTGAGGATGTACTTAATTTTGTGGCTCCGTACGGTATTCTAACCAACAGTTCAGTGGCCAACTTTAAGAATGCTTTGTCAGGAACAGCTATTCTAGAGACTTCTAGTAGAGGTGCCACTTTGTGTACCACTTGTGTACCAGGCTACTTGTGTACCAGGCTACTTGTGTACCACTTGTGTACCACTTGTGTACCACTTGTGTACCACTTGTGTACCACTTGTGTACCACTTGTGTACCACTTGTGTACCACTTGTGTACCACTTGTGTACCACTTGTGTACCACTTGTGTGCTACATCGTTAGGATAAATATTATGTGTCTCAAAAAAATCAGTAAAGTTTGGAAAAAGTGTTGGTTTTCACCGTAACGATAAATTTGGAAACAATGATATTATCCAACTGTATGTAGCTAACTTCTTGATTTCCTGTTAAAGTGATCCAAGGATATTTATACGTCGACAGCTGTCAAGTGTCATTAGAGCTGTGATTTTATCTTTGTATTATATATACCTAATTTTATAATGATGTGAATTAAAAAGGTGTACTGAAATGTTGGACATTCCCTGGGCCTGATGGGTTACTTTTCCTTGGATTCAATCAGCATAAAGGGATTTGTCAGATCTGGAAAAATGTATACTGTATATTAGTGTATACATACTTACATATTATTATGTGTTGTGTTTAGAGTAAATAAAAACACCAAACTGATTAGCCAGAGTTTGCGACATTCCAATGTTTCCATGTCTTGATAATAATATTATGTAATATAAGAAAATATCTTTAGTCTTTACATGCCACTATATCGCGGCTTACAGCTGTGACTTTAAACCATGATTTTAAATAATATGTGATTATCACTCGTTCTTTCGTATTAGAAGACACTCTAATTCGAAGATATACAATGTAACTGAAACTAACAGGACTGTTAAATGTTCATCACCCTTCAGAGCACCTACAGAGCAGTGCAAAGCTAGCTCCTACAATCACTGTAACACTAAAGGAAGCAGTCAGAGGGATAATCTACAACAGGAAACGGTTACAAGACACTTTCGATTACACTGGCTCCCTTTATGTGAGTCTGAACCGTTATTTAAATGTTTTGTAGACTTAACTAATTAACGAACTATTTGTGTACTTTAGTTGAGAAATTATGAGCACACCTCGATACTGCATTTGTTGAATAATGAGTTCTAGGTTAAATGGATTTGTTATGGAAACAGGTATCAATTGCTCAGTATTGCTTGCAAAGCTTGTTAACTTGTTTATTAATTGATGATAATTAATTAATTAATTAATTGACAATTCAATCCACACGTTCAGCTAGTATCGACACTACCAGTAAAAACAGACATCTCAGCGACATTGCTGACCACCCTAGACCTGACGGATGTAGTCCCTGGCCCTCAGCTGGACAAGTTCCATGATACTTTCAAAGAAAACAGGCTGCAGCTCTTTTTAACACCCGGCTACGACGTCACTGAAGTGTTCAAGTGAGTTTCCAATTTTTGACCGCTCTTTCGCGTGATCCTGTAGGACTCCAAGGACTCCAAAAATATATATATGTAATATTATATAATACTTATTGTATATTATATATACCATAAAAATACTAACCATAAATATTAACGCAACATACTTAGATCTCGATAGTCTTCAAGCTGTCGCTAACTGGACTTATAACTGTATTTTTTTTTAAAAGTTTACCAATATAATTTTTGTTTCATTTCAGGTACGCATTTGAGCAGGTGAAACCGCCAATTTTCGCGACCTATAAAGTAACAAACGGTAATCCTGGTCTCGCCTTCACGCTAGATCTTCAGTTCTTTCTTGAGCAAAAGATATCATTCGATTTTATCGAGGTATTGCTATTGACAGTTTTAAAGTAGTTAAGTTAGTTTAAATGTTTTGAAGCAAATTAGATGCTTAAATAAAATACTAGCTTAATTAAGTAATTAATCGATACACTATATACCACTATTTTTATTGTTTAAGATATTATCATGATAATGTAATGATATTATCTACTTTCAATTTCCATTATTTAAATCCTGTTCACAGTTAAATTATTTCTATGGAGTAGAATGATTCCTGGGACCTTTTCCGACCATTTCCCGTTGAAATCGCTTTGTTGCTAATTATGTCCGACAAAAGCTTAAATTGGGACGTATTTGACGGTACTATGATAAGTTAACATTTCCCTCCTATTTTGTCAGGTGGCTCTACCCTTTCCTAACCGCGGTCCTATTAACTCTCTGAAGTTTGAACCTCAAAACAGTGATGTGGTAATGAACAAGAAGAAAAATCAGATTATTTGGAGACGAGCTAAACCCCCCGTTACAGGTATTATTTAAATAAATATATCATATTTTTATGTAATATTTAATATCACTCAAAAATCGAGTCAACAACATCTCCTTACATGGGCATCACGTGTTATCCCTCAGAAAAGTTAACACTGACGGGTAACCTCACGTTTGACTCCCGCCATTCCCGTCTGGACGGACATCCCCAGCTCAGAGACCTCAACTCGTACGCGGACATCTCCTTCAAGTCAAGTTCCACTACAATGAGCAAGATGAGGCTAAATAGGGAATCTGTGACGGTGTTTCCTGGTATCAAGTTCAGGTTTATATTAATATTATATATCCACTTTCAGGAGCTTTTCTTAAAACCTCTATCTCTTGCACTGTAAGCCACCATTTTTACATTTTTCACCATACTGTAGTTCAGATTTATACTTAAATGTAATAATATTCATCATGATATTATCTCGGTGATAACATTGATATTTACTGTATTCTGCTGTATAAAACTTGATTTAATTAAATAAATTATATTTAGGTTGAACTACGAGGTGAAGAGCACTGGTCAGAGTATAAGGGTATGGAACTCTGTCGGGGAAGTGTTTGATCAGTAGAGAGATTCAGTATCAATGCCACTGCAAAACAAGAAACTGTTTGATCAGTAGAGAGATTCAGTAGCAATGCCACTGCAGAACAAGAAACGGTTCGATCAGTACTAGTAGAGAGATTCAGTAGCAATGCCACTACAGAACAAGAAACGGTTCGATCAGTAGTTTTGAAGATAACGCAGATGGAAGAGTTTTGATATTTACTTAATTTAGTTATGTTTGTTCCAAGACGGTTGTTAATTTATTTTTGTTAGACTTTTAGTTGATTCCAGAATAACTTTATAATATTATTATATGATTGTCAATTACTGAACGTCAAAACTTTTTTGTGTAACTTATCGTGTGATTTCATTTTGTATACTTCTTAATTAAAGTTTATTGTTCTGTTCATTCGTTATTCAACCCATTTTGTTCGAATGCAAATTTTTTTTAATGTACTGGCACCAATAATTCCATTAACACAAATAAAAAATTTGATATCAACTAAGATCCAGTTCTAGTTAAAGATGAACTTTATACTTTCAAGTTTAATGTTGTTCTCTGAATATAATTATCTCTAACAAATCATCTCAGGTAGATTTTTTAAGGAGAAAACATTATTGGCAGCACAATTAGTTGGGAACTACTAATTACATTACAACACAACATCAGATATCATTAAAGAAGGAAGACTGATTGATTGAGAAGCACCACCCTCTTCGCTACTATCTCCAATGAGTATTTAGGTACATTGATGGAAGATATAATTGTGTCAAACAATAATCAGATTGATCTGGATGATGCCTTAGCTTTCATTGGATCAATCGTGAGCAGTGTTGACAGTAAAGCAGACCACATTGAAACAACCTCCCTACATTGGCTTAATAATGACTGCTTGAGACTGATATTTTCGTTTATTTCTAGGCAGACTCTTCAGACAGTTCATGTCCAATTAGTCTGCAAGAGATGGTTTACACTGATAAACTCTATGATGTTTCGTAGACCAAAACTGAATTTGTTCACGGCTACTGAATATCATAAAGATGGAAAATATCCTAGAGATGAGAATGTAGTTCAAATTGGACATAGTGTTTTCAATTTTGTTCAGGCCTTGTATTTTACAGAGGAAATAGTATCTGAGCTGATGTTATCGAAGATAAAAGAACCATATAACTTCTCCGCTACAATCGAGGTAATTAAAGTCGTTCCATCGGTGAGCACTATTAAAATTCGCTACAGGGCCATCGTGCAATTGTGTCCTAATCTTAATAAATTTTCCACCGATAGATGCTTAGGCCTCCCTATAGTAGATCTAGAGGAAGTGGGTCTTCAACCGTTTTTATTCCCCTCAAACCTCAACGAACTTTCGATTACAAACAAGTGGATAAAGGAACCAGGTCTGAGCCACATTATTCAATCAAGCTGCATGACGTTACAAAAACTCAAATTAACAAGAGCTGGATTATTTTCGGGGCTGTCCATAGTTGAGCACTTACACGGCTGTAAGATGAAGGTTCTAGACCTTTCTGGCTGCTTCAGACTTAAACCATCTATTTTCCCGTTTATCTTCAAAGCTTATCATGGTACACTTGAAGAGCTACATTTCCCAACATCCATCATGACAATACCAATCCCCGCTGGGCTGATCATGGAGAAATTGAAATGTGTAACTATGTATGAGATCTGCCAAAACGGTGGAATCAGGGAACACGATGAAAATGTTGTAATGAGCTTGTTTAGATCCATGGTGAACGTTGAGAGTCTCACTATATTAACAGACGATCGTCCCTTATACCGCAGATTTGCACCATGTCAATATTTCGATTATATGAGCAAAATAATGACGTTAAAAAACCTTAAAGAGATAACTTTACCACTTGAACCTATGAGGAACACCATGTTTGGGAGCCATTCAATTATAAGGGAACTTAAAGAACTGGGCGTGAAGGTCAGGATAGACTGTGATTACTGAATAATATTATATTGATCTGAATAACACAGGTGGGAGGGTGAGCCAATCAGTTTTCAGCAATGACCAATCAAAACCGGGGATCGCCGTCACGAGTAAAAACAAATTTGGTTAATTTACCCTCTGTTATCTAAATTCATTTACCATATCTATTAGTTTTTTAGTTAAAAATATTTTAATCATTAGGTTAAATTGAGCAGAAACGTGAGTAGAAACATTTTAGTCATAATAATATGTTGAAACATTTGAAATAAAACTGCTTTATCTTAAAGGAATTACCGTATAATGTCTATTTCTAGATTTGTTTGATTATTTATAAGTTAAGATATCTAAAAAATTTCTGGATTTGAATTTGCTTCAAGACTATATAATTTCATGCAGTTTCTATCGTGCAGTTTCTATCGTATCGTGTTAATTTTCTATCATGTTTTATTTTCTATTGTGTTGGTTTGATGTTTTAGTTCTGACAATTAAAATGTTGATAACTTAAAATTTCAATTTTTAAAATCTTACTCAATAGTCTCACTGCTATTTAAAAACACAATATGGTACATCATGTTGTGATGTTGTATTTACTGGAACACTATATTCCAAATCTATCTAATAACTGTAGATATTTTCTCTATGATAGTATCACGTGGTATAGTTAGTTAACTAGACTTCATTGACCCTGTTACAGGAGTATACACTACACTGTCTTAATTTGTACTTGTAGACGACCAAAAGGGAGATTTTTTAGTAGCCAGCTGGTTAAAATTACCAAAACATTTATCATGTTACAATATAATTATATGTCAACGACCTCCAATCCCTAAATAAAATTTGTGGCTAGTTTATAATATCTTATTAGTTATTTGGTATTCTTGATGATAAGTGTCATCCCGATACCCGTTATTTTTTCCCGATCCATGACTCAAAGTGCCGAAGGCACAAAAGAGTCAAGGACAAGGGTTAGCAATCGAGGTTTTTTTGGGGATATGGTAGCTTTGCGACCGTGCGACCGTGCGAGCGTGCGTGCCTGCGTACGTGTCGCCCACGTGTCTGCCTGCGCAAAGTTATTTTGCGCGAAAATCTGAATTAAACAATTGTTGGCGCGCGGTGCTGAAATGTTCAAGTACATTGTTAATTTCACCATGTACGCATCCCGCTAGGGACTAATTGATAGCATAGTATTATTATTTTGAGTTAGTATTACTATTTTGCACAGATCCGTGTCAGGTTGCATAAACAATAAACATATGGTTACATAGAAATATACACGATTTTCAAATTAAATATGGAATTATATCAACTGGGCGGCGCTCGGCCTGTCACTCCGCCATATCTGCATGCTTATAAACAGTAAAGACTGGGGTTCCCAGGTGGTATGGAATATGATCAAATACTCCATCACGGATCGGGAAATTGAGCGGCCATCCACAAAAGAAAAGCGGCCGCATTTCTTGTTAATCATGCTTATTAAAAAATTTGACATTAATATATACGAAACTTTCTATCAGGAATGTCAGTTCAAGAAACAGAAACGTTTGAGGAGGTTTATATCAAAGAAGAGATGATAGACGCTCAACAAGTTAACACTACTTCAACCTGGTCATCATCAGTATGCTTTGGTAAATGTGAGGAAAACAACGAAAATAACAATCTGAAAGCTGAGGGTGTGCCGGCTAATCAGTTTGGAGCTGGTTCAGAACACTTCAACCAAGTAGGTGAAGTTGTAAAGATGGAGGATGTGCCGGCTAATCAGTTTGAAGCTGGTTCAGAACATTTCAACCAAGTAGGTGAAGTTGTAAAGATGGAGGATGTGCCGGCTAATCAGTTTGAAGCTGGTTCAGAACATTTCAACCAAGTAGGTGAAGTTGTAAAGATAGAGGATGTGCCGGCTAATCAGTTTGAAGCTGGTTCAGAACACTTCAACCAAGTAGGTGAAGTTGTAAAGATGGAGGATGTGCCGGCTAATCAGTTTGAAGCTGGTTCAGAACATTTCAACCAAGTAGGTGAAGTTGTAAAGATGGAGGATGTGCCGGCTAATCAGTTTGAAGCTGGTTCAGAACACTTCAACCAAGTAGGTGAAGTTGTAAAGATAGAGGATGTGCCGGCTAATCAGTTTGAAGCTGGTTCAGAACACTTCAACCAAGTAGGTGAAGTTGTAAAGATAGAGGATGTGCCGGCTAATCAGTTTGAAGCTGGTTCAGAACACTTCAACCAAGTAGGTGAAGTTGTAAAGATGGAGGATGTGCCGGCTAATCAGTTTGAAGCTGGTTCAGAACACTTCAACCAAGTAGGTGAAGTTGTAAAGATGGAGGATGTGCCGGCTAATCAGTTTGGAGCTGGTTCAGAACACTTCAACCAAGTAGGTGAAGTTGTAAAGATAGAGGATGTGCCGGCTAATCAGTTTGGAGCTGGTTCAGAACACTTCAACCAAGTAGGTGAAGTTGTAAAGATAGAGGATGTGCCGGCTAATCAGTTTGAAGCTGGTTCAGAACATTTCAACCAAGTAGGTGAAGTTGTAAAGATAGAGGATGTGCCGGCTAATCAGTTTGAAGCTGGTTCAGAACATTTCAACCAAGTAGATGAAACTCTATCTATTGGGGAAACCATTCCTTCTGGGACTGGACAACACGCTGAGCTTGCTAACAAATGTGCATCATATGACTACAGGACTTCTGGAAAGTTGAAAACACAGAAACAGACGCACTCCGGAGAAAAACTTTATTCTTGCAGTTTGTGCGATCATAAATATAATCAATCGAGTTCTCTTACTGTCCACAAACGGACACACACCGGAGAGAAACCTTATTCTTGCAGTTTGTGTGATTATAAAACGAGTGATTCGAGTGCTCTTAGGGTTCACAAACGGACACACACCGGAGAGAAACCTTATTCTTGCAGTTTGTGTGATTATAAAACGAGTGATTCGAGTGCTCTTAGGGTTCACAAACGGACACACACCGGAGAGAAACCTTATTCCTGCAGTTTGTGTGATTACAAATCAAATCAATCGAGTCACCTTACTGTTCACAAACGGACACACACTGGAGAGCAACCTTATTCTTGCAGA